AGGTCGAAATATAGATAATCGACCATCCTGAACATCGTGGTGTTGTTAGTTTTACACAAAAAAGAGTTGTCAACTTTAATATCAATTTTCACGTACAGAAAAACATAGTTTCGAGAGCGTATCACTGCAGACAAGTTATATAGCTTGACTAAGCGCCAAAAGCTATTCTATGTCAACACAGAGCTCAAATAAAGGATTTTAGTTCCTCAAAGTCACTGAAAACCCTTTTTTGTGTAAAACTAACAACACCACGATGTTCAGGATGGTCGATTACCTATATTTCGACCTTTACTGGTGTCTTCAAACCGCAAAAACTAAGGATACCGCTTGTTCGGAAAAACTTACCCTCCTTGAAAATCTAAGGAAAATCCGAAGTTTGCTTTGACGTACATTTAAAGAAGACACTTCAGACTACTTATCTATCGAAAAAAATCGATAGGTTGCTATTTTAATTTCGGAAACCACAACGTTGTTTTCAAAAGATTGTCGGAAAACAGGATCTTCCGAGGAGTTTCATTTACTCAGTAAAAGTTGTGGGAAAGTGTCTATTTTCAGAATCTGAAAACGGCAGATCGTTATTACTTTTTTATCAGAAGTTATTTAAGAAATAGCCAAGGAAGCTGCTTTTGTGTCAGTCATAGTCTGTCATAATGGTGCTGATGAACAGTACCTAGTGGACTTGATGGGTTCTAAATAAAACAGAGAGTGCCAGAAAAGCACAGGAAAATGGAAGCATAATAATGGGTTAGAGTTCGATTTTGAATCCAATGAATATAAATGCGTTTGAAAAACTAACTAGTTGAAATCCAAAGAAGTTTGAACGCTTTACGATTGGGAGAGGCGTTAGTATGTATTACTAGCTCTGATTTGTTAGAACTACCGAATATGAAACATTTGATAGAGTTAAAGTTAGATACTTTAGTTCCGTATTTTAATTTTATTTTAATTTTATTTTAATTTTAAATTTAGCAAAACAACAAACGTACACTGAAGAAGACCTCAATTAAAAGAGGTCGAAACGTTTGTTGTTTTGCTAAATTTAAAATTAAAATAAAATTAAAATACGGAACTAAAGTATCTAACTTTAACTCTATTATATAGTGGACTAGGCCGCTTACCAAACGCGTAAGAGCTTCTAAATTTTCCTCAGTAACGGGCTTGAACTTTGTTTTCATCTTTTTTTATAAAAGTGTGTTCGAACGCATTAAAACTAATTCCTTGATTTTTCAAGTCCTACGTAAGTTTGAAAAATGAAATATTTGCGCACATTCAATAGCAATGGACTCGTGCACGTTTGTCAGATTAATTGTTGTTTTTAACGCTTGCTAACATGCATTAGAGTATCAAAATTATTTCATGACCTTAGGCGCCTTTAAAATGACACGTCTCCAGGCTCTCCACAATATGGTTTCGTTGAAATATGAGCATTTCCGCAAAAGACTTACAAAAAATGACTTTCTTGAAGAAACAGTTCTAGTTCACATGTAACCTAAGCTTCTTTAAGGAAGAAACGATCCCATCGGAATGTGCCTGTTTCAGTCGAAAATGTTTACCAAAGATACAATGAACTTATACGTTCAGATATTTTTCAAATTATCCTTTTCGGAAGCAAGGTTCTCTGAAAAAACATGCACAAAAACTCGAAGCTATTGATCTTTTCTTTCGAAAATAAAGAGAGATGATAAACTGAATTACATCGGGCATATAGGTATCTAGGATCTGTAATAAGGATTGTCGTTATAATTTGGTAGTAAGATAAGAAATGAGAACAGATTTTGAAAATATCTTTTTCCTGCTTATACAATTTGAGTACTCCATTTAGTTGAACGAAGGTAATTCCGTAACCGCTCGTTCCATTTCATTGTCCTGTTTTTAGATCACTCCCTTGAACTTGGGCGTCCTCGATTGATGATACCTAACGAAACAGTTCTGAAGAAAATTAATAATTTTCAACAACTTTATCGTTCAGAACAAGCAGGTCGATGGTGGACACATGATTCATTTTTATTTCGTTTATTAAATAAAGCATTTCGCACAGAAGATATTGCTACTATATATCCATTTCGTTCATAATATAACTGACCTTCATCGACAATTGACTGATTTAAGCGAAAGATGTGAGAAGAATCTTACACGAGCTTATCGTGGAAACCAGTTAATATTGTACGAAATTTAATTGATAATCAACATGGTCTAATATCAATGAACGGATTTTTATCAGTAACAAATGATAGAACTGTTGCTGATATGTTTGCTAGTATTGACCAGAATCGTTTAGGTTATGAAGCTGTACTCTTCGAGTTAAAACTTGATGTTGATGGTAAGCCTAGTAGTAGAAAACCATTTGCTGATATAACAAATATTAGTCAATATCCAGAAGAAAAAGAAATTTTATTTTCAATGGGAATAGTATGGTGCATTGACTCAGTTACACAACAAGAAAATAATTCATATTTAATAAAATTATCATTAACGAATGAAGAAGATTTAAGATCAACTGAATTAATAAAATATTTAAAGAAAAATATGAGTAAAGAAATGTGTACATTACTAACATTCGGTAATTTTTTATTCGATATTGGTGAATATGATAAAGCTGAATATTATTACAAAAAAATGGCGATAGAATTACCTCCAAATGATAAAAGACAAGCCATACTTTATAATAATATTGGTTTAATACGGTAGAAGTCAGTCATCTGCGACGTCCGGTTAAAACCGGCATAGTTTGTTTCCTCCATCTTCATATCTAATTCAGCCTACTCACCCACCCTATCTGGCAATTTTAGCTTATGATGCGGACTTGTACTATAATTGCCTAAAGAAGAATTGGGAAAGTTTAGAAATACAGTTTCTATAGGTTTTCTAGTGTCATACGTTTGAAAACATTTCAGAATGAGTTATTCTAGGTTTTCCAAAGGCCCAGGTTCTCTGTAAAACGGAGATATAGAGACACGGCCAAAATTATTTTTTAAATGTATTTTTTTTAATTTTCTGATACGCTCATTCTATTGATCTACTTCAAAAATTTAAAAACGTCATCTAATTTTGCAAAGCTCTTATTTGGTGTCCTATAAAATAACATTTAGAAAAACATGTTACGTCTAAAGAATTAAGATTAAATAGGGCATATTTTTGAATACAAGTACTCAGCGTGCACAGATTGTTCGTTTCAAAGAAGAGTTAATTCATCAATTAGTGCAGTGAAAGTCAGTGTGAAGCCTAAAATTGTGAATGAATACTAAAAAAAGAAATTCATCAGTAAAAAATAGAAAAGAATGTAGAAGAAATGATCATAGAATATTCCTATCTCGATTGTAGAACACTTTCTAACAGACTATCATTTTTGTTAGCTGATGATTGACAGTATTTTCTATTGATTTTCGTTTTGAATAAGAATCTCGAACAGCTTGGTGTAGGACAGGGTCAGAACGCACAAAGAGTCGATTAAACACGTCAGTGTGATTTGATGTAGGGCCGCATTTGAGAGATAAAAACTCACAGAAATTTCGAATATCCTTATGCGTGGTTTTCTGGTGCTTCTTCTGATAATTCCTTAAGTACAATTCCCTTCAGTGGAATGAAATATTACACCATGGACAGTCATAGACTATTTAGTTCATTGGTAGTGAAGAGTGCAAGTATCGACAAACTGTTTAATAGAACTTAAATATTTATTACTAAAATATCTACAAAATTCTATACTAGTTCGACTAATACAGAATTTTGTAGATATTTTGTTGTAGAATATACAAAATTTTGCAGTAATTTCGCTTTTGTAACCATTTTTTTGCATTTTTTTTTACGTGATCAACCAAAAAACAATTGATTTTAAGACATAAGCACCTGTGATTAGGGGTTGACAGGGCCTGTTTTTTATAAAAATAAGGCTCGAAATCTCTCTAAGAGTTTTTGGGATTTTGAAGTTCTACTAACAAAACTGATCTTGACTTTTATCATCAAAAGTTTTTTTACCATACTTTAACATGGCCAATATTTCCGGAAAAGTTGGACTCAGACAGTTTTCTGGTGTGAGATACTTTAACTACAGCAATGTCTGCACAGGATATACCTTGTAGAAATAAAGGTATCTCCTTATTTGCTGTGTCTTAGATAAAACCTATGACCTCTCTCTTATCTGCTGATTCAGTCAGGAGATTACCACAGCTTTCCTCGTTATCTTTTGTCCGTACTAATTGCATAGACATAAAAATAGAACTCAAAACGTTAAAAATCTTAAAAGAAAGGAGGAAAACGCAGGGCAGCCCTATACTGAGACTGAAATGTGAAACTCCTCAAAACGCCGTTATGTTATCGTAGATAGATAAAACTTACATAGAATGTGGAGTTATAGAAGCAATGTCTCATCTAAAGCTGCTCTCAACAAAACAGGATAACATTGGTTGCTATGGTGAAAGTTATAGAATGGCTGTCGTGGCTGCTAAACTATCACCGAAAATTCTTAACTTCTGAATATAAACTTCGGCTCTTCACTATGTTGGAGGTGTTAAGAGAGTTTTAGAAAACGGCATGTTTAACGGTTAATTTATAGGTTTTATTATCCCAACAGATGGTATTGTTTTCACTTTTTCTAAACTCGCTGGTTTTGTTTAAAAGTGCGAATGTTTAGAATTCTTCAATATGCATCTAAAAACGAACATCCCTTATGAATAATTCTATACGAAAAAAACGATTTACGCGGCGCTTTAGAAAATTTTGATAAAGCTGAATTATTAATAAAATTATATTACACAAATAAGGAGGAATATTTATTTACAACATCAACAAATAAACAAATGGTGAATGAAAATTTTGAAGAAATAAAAACCGTAATTTGTTTAAAATTGTTAACTATGAGTTATAATTGTCCATCAAGTATGAAAATTTTCCATAATATTGGATATCTGTATCAAAAACATGGAAAGTTAGATTTAGCATTACAAAATTATGAGAAAGCACTTACACTTTATCGCAATCATGGTATTGATCATTCTCAAGATATATCAGCAACTCATGATAATATGGGTGGGGTATATTTTGAACAACATAAATTTAAGGACGCATTGCATAGTTTTGAACAAGCAATTGAAGAAGGTTTTAAACTATTACCAGATAATCATTCATGGATCGAAGATTATAAAAAAAATGTTAAAACTGTTTCTAAAAACATTAAAATTAAATTGAAAATTGATTGAACGGGAAAAAAAATTTTCTTTAACGTTATACTCTGTTTACAGAAAAAAGTGACAAGTGAAACGACAGGCTCTAGGTTTAGCTATCCGCTGTAAAATCGGAATTATCATTGTTGTATACCGTATTGAAAAGTAAATTATAACTGGAAAATTACTGATGGTCGTCATCACATCAGAGAATTCATTAACACCTCATCGGTGAATTTGTAGAATAATTTGAATAAATATGAGAAAAATATCATTTCTGATATAACAATTGAACATTAACGTATGTCACACATTATTATAATGATTTATTTTTCTTCAATTTTTACATATTTCTCACCTAAGTATTATTGGTTTATTTTTAAGCAACCAATAGTTGTATATTATCCAAATGATCTTAACATTGTTCGATCAAGTACCATTCAAATCATCGTTGGATTATTCATTCAAACCTTCATCCAACAAAGTTATAAATGATGAGTTTCAGTTCTATTTCCTCGACAAATGAAACAAAAAATAATCGAAGTTGAGAAGAAATTAAGGTGCTAGAAATGCAAAAGTTGAGCAGAAAACTGTTTTCGCTGATTTATACATGGTCCCATAGACCTCGTCACATTGATCCACGCGCATGAATTACAATTTTTTGAAACATGTGTTGGGTGAGAAATCTTTAAAAAACCATATTATCAACATAAAAAGTAAAACTAAAAATAAAACTGACTCATTTTTAAAATCGATTTTATTATCATATGATATTTATTTACAGCCCATTCAAAAATAAAAGATCTCTTTGAGCGATTTGACTTATATTGACACTATTCCATTGTTGAAATAGTATAAATATGAAATTCTTCTCTATTCTAGCAGACTTTCAGGGCTTTCAGGTGATTCAATATGGGACCAGTTTACATGAAGATAGAAATGCACAA